TCAAAACATATGATGTGCTCCACTCACACATACCAGATATGTGAGGGCAATGGATGCTTGAGGTGACAGACAGGCAATCCATTGAGGGCCCCTTTAGATGTCCAGTTGGCTAAGGAAGCAGATGCCTAAAAACAACACTGAATATAAGTTTTCCAGCTCAGTTTAAAGACTGGCACCAGAGTGCAATCTCCTTTTCCTTGTTTGTCTTCATAGAATATTCTGAACATACTGAAAACACTACTCCTTCCCAGGCAGAGTGCCATATGCTTTTAATCCCAACACTCAGAGGCAGATCTTGTGAGTTCTAGGGCACCCAGGACTACCTAGTGAGACCCTATTTCCCCACAGAAGATGAAGAAAAACAAAAAAAAAATTCTACTTCTTACCTTTTATTCTTTCAAATTACTTGAGTTGATCTCTTGTTACTCATTGTCTTACTTGAGATACTGCATTGGCTCTAAATGTCACGATAACCATATTTCTGCCTTATTTTTAATGTTGTGATTTAGTTATTATTATTTAATTGTAAGATTTTAATCATAGACTTGTTCTTAAAATTTATATGAAAATAATTTACTTCATTTTCTTTGCATAATGCTTAAATATATATTTACATTTAAAGAGCTATAATTGAATTAGAAGTCACTCTTTATTGATTTTAAATCAGAAGGAAAACTAAGTAACAGCATTTTTCTTATTTATTTTGTCCTAATAAATGAAAAATTTCATTTTATAATATATATATATTTCCCTGTTTCTATAAGTGTTATAATAATACAAGTAAACAATAATTCTTCTCAGTCTTTATCATAAACATGCTGTAAATTTAAGTATGATTTATTTGGTCTAGAGACTAAACTGACCAGGATTGTGAATATAAAAACAAACTAGCAAGACCCTGTTCACTCCTTCACTTTCTGCAAAAGTAGTGGCAATATTTTTATGTGTTCAAATAAAATTTTATCATTTCAATCCTTACAATGTAGTTCATATGATCCCATTTGAATTCTGAAAACAACAGTCTATTTAGATAGTTCTTACCATGGTACAAAGTGTTATGTCATCCGTTTCTCATTTTATCACAGGAAGTGAATGAGGTAACCATTCAACTCTTCTCCCCTGTCCTACAGGTGAATAATCAGGTGTCGGGGGTGGGGGTGCTAAACACACAGCTCGAAGGTTGCCGAGTTGTCCCTATAACCCTTGTTTATGGCTTTGAACTCTTGAATTCTAAATTTAATAGTGCCTTTGGAATCAAACTCTCTTATTTTAAACAATTGTGATTTACTTGTTATTGCTAAACATCTTATAAACTATTAGAAGTAGCTAGAACTGGTAGCTAGAACAAATTTGATATTCTCAGCATCTACATGATGCTGCTTCCACTTCCTAAAGCACAGAGGCAGCAGGCAGGTCTCCAGAGGAAGCTATGTGTGCACCTGTAGGTATCTCAATCAAAGGTGACAAAATTGTCCCTAAAGACCTTTGCAAATATTTTTATAGGCTTCTCAGAAGATTTATGCTTAACATAATATATGGGTCAAGCAAGAGTTATGGAATAAGCCAATGGAAATTTTTCTCTCCCATTGCAGTTTAGTTGCAGACAAGGAAATATGAAAAGAAGAATTAGACTGATTGTGCTAAATCAGCCTGATGCCAAATATTGCATTTGTAATAAGAAACCTTACCAAGTACAAGTTTTTGTTTGTTTGTTTGTTTTCTTCCAGTTTCCTTGGTTGAACACAGGTTCTACTATTCATAGCAACCAGGAAAGAAAGTTTACAAAGCAGTTTGGGCTACTTTTATTTTTACCATTTTTTTAAATATAGATTTTTTTTGAGGGAAGGTCCTGCAGAGAAGCCTTATAATCCAGGCTAGCCTGAGACTCACGATGGCCCAGGCTGGAGTATAAAAACCACACCAAGCTCTTTATTATACTGTTTTGAAGATCATGCCCAAACTCAAACAAGCATCAATAGTCTTGAAATCTGGACAGTTAACTTACTTGACAACTAACTACTGATTTTAAGTGCAATTTGCAACTTCCAAAAAATTTTTGTTTAACATTAAGATCTGAAGTATGCTTTTTAGGTTTGGAATTAGATAATATAGGGTAAGCGGACATGTCCTCCTCCTGAGCAGCAAAGTAAGAGTGATTTGGACTGATTGAAGAGGTGACGTGAGAAGACACAGTCTTACATAAGAGATAGAGTTGAAAGTTTCTTGGTGTGGCCCAATTTTGTGAAGAAAGCCGGAAGCTATTTCCACACATGGCTGCTGGAGATACCATGGTCAATAAACCTCATTGGGGGTGGGGGGGGTTCCATGTCGTGTGTTGCCTTGGCAAACTCTTACCAAGCCATCACTCTGTGTGAGTTGCTTTCTTGGAGAAGTAGTAGTGGGTGGCTGGTTGGGAGAGTTTGGAGTCTGGGAGAGAAGAGAATTGTTGGTTTCAAAATTAGTAGCTAACCAATGTCTCATTTTTTTTTTTCTGAACCAAGTAGACAATTAGTTTTGTCAGCAGGGATTTAATGTGCTCTACTCTGAAAAGGACAGAGCTCTCAGCAAAGTGGAAAACCAGACAAATCAAATGGTCATTTGGGGATTGGAGTTGTCTTAATATGGGTGTAAATGGTTATTAAACACAAATTTTACATTCTTCAATTCAATGTATTTGTACAAAAATAAAAAGTCATATTTAAAAAATAAAACTCTTGGCAGTTTGAAATTAGAGGAAAATTGACACTACAATCATGTGAACAGAGTACATACCTCCTCCACCCTCCCCCAAAAAAGTCTGAGAAAGTCAATATTCAAACTGTTCAAATTTTTCAGCTTTCAACAGTACCTGTTTTGTGGGGTGGGGTCATTCTTTGTCTGTGAAAACCAAAATGCTTTTTGAGAGTTTCTACATCTTCTTAGAATGATTTTGTATATTTTCAAATATTTGGTAAGCATTTAAATTCATTGCCAGAAATTTCCTCTATGCATGCAGAATCACAGACTGATAAGATAGTCTTACTGATGAGCTTTCCTTCCTGAAGGTGAACACAATACCCCATCAGTGGGTATTTTTGTTCTTTTCTAGTCATAGTTATGGGTCGCCAACATACCATTCACACCTTTTGATTTTGTCAACCCTGGGAATTTTATTCATTTAAATTCATAGGACTAGCAACATCCACTGGCCTTAAGCATAAAATACTAAAACTTGTTTTCAATGTTGTTACACCTTAGAACACTGACTAACTCTGGAGCTAAATAATAAAGATGAAATTATTGATCCATGATCTAAGAAGTTCTGGTTTTAACAGACAAAGACTCATTAAATACTACTTAGGTCTATGGCAACCAATAACCAAATTTAATTTTAAAATATACTTCACCATGGACTTGAAAAAAAATTGCTTTCAAACCATTGATCAACATAGCACAGGAGACAGCATCTGAGAAAATAAATCAGGCAAATAAATGAAGGAAAGAATCATGGGACTCAGAAAGTATAATCCAAACAGAACAGGGACACTAGCCAAGGTAAGGCGTGAGTCCAGGGCCAAAGAGCTTTCTCATCTGGGAGGAGAAGCTGTGGAACCGCCAAGGCAGAGGGAAACGATTGCCAGAGACACTACTGGACAGCTTAACAATATTCCCTCAATTCTGTATCAAACAACCCATGATTTACTATTTTACTACTTTTATCTACACATATTATACACATAATCTAA